GGGGACCAGGCTGTTGTGTCTCAGGGAACCAAACCCACAAGGGAGAGCAGCGGAGAGTAAATCAGACAGCCGATAAGAAACAAATGCCTGAAGAAGGGATAGGAATACCTTCTGGAAATCCTTGGCAAAAAAAAAAAAAAAAAACCCCAGAGTTACCTGCTGGCCTTGGTTTTTTTTCTCACTCAAGTCTCTGGAAGCTACAGCTTCGTTCCCCTTTTTGGTGACTTCTTCTATCCGCTCCTCACACTGCTCCTTCACCTCTTTCATCTGATTGATGCACTGGCTCCTTTGGGAAAGGAGGGAAGAACAAATATCAATGGATGTGTCTATATACCAAGTGTGTCCCTGCTGTGACTGTGGAATCCACGTCAGTAAAAGACACACTCGTCTTTTTCCTGCACCAAGCACTTTATCTGAAGAGGACATAGGGCAGGGCAATGTGTGTTCTCGACTATTATATTACAAGGAAACTGTAGTTGATTGAAACTTACAAAAAGGAAGTCACATTGTTCTAAAACAGGTAAACTTTAGTGATTAGAAAAAGCAATTTTTTAAATAAAATCTGTGGTATGATAAAAAATGTTTTTGATTTTTGTCCCCAGCTACTGGCACGGAGTTCCTACAACCCTTGGAACTTCCTGAGTAATGGAAGTGTCTCCTGTTATTTATAATGAGCCCGGTGGACCACGCCTGAGTTTATGCTAATGAGATGACTCAGTGGGAGGAGCCTACAGAGCTGGAGGATGGGGCTGGTGGCCAAAGGAACCAACCACATAATGAGAGGGTTCGAACTTTCAGCCCTACACCCATCCTGCAGGGAGCTGGGACTGGAGATGGCTTTCGATCACATGACCAATGGCTTAATCAATAATGCCTACATAATAAAACCTCAGATAAAAACTTTAGATCATGAGCCTTGGCCAACTTCCCACTTGGTAAACATGTCTATGTACCAGAAAGGCGGCACCCCAACTCCAACAGAAGCTTCTGCCTTCCCCCCATTCCCACCCCAGATCATACGTTATGAGTCTCTGCCATTCAGCTATTCTTGAGTGGTATCTTTACAATAAAACTGTAATTGTAAGTATAGAACTGTCCTGAGTTCTTTGAGTTGTTTGAGAGAATTACTGAACCTGAGGGTGTTATGGGAAGCCTGGAATTTATAGCTAGCCAGGCAAAAGTACATGTGGCTTGGGGACACCCAGAACTTGTGGCTGGCATCAGAAGTGGGGGCAGGCTCCTTGGACTGAGCTCCTTAATCTGTGGAGTTTGCGGGAACTCTGGGCAGAGTCAAAACTGAATTGAATTTATACTTCCAAGAGGAAGAAATAGATGTTTTTTTTCCTGTTCCTCTCACTAAGTAGAACTAAAAACTCTGGACTTTATATTTAAAACAAACATAAGAAGAGTCCCAAAGGTGGAAAGAAGGCAGCACACCAGCTAGAGACCTCGGACCTGAAGAACAACACAGTGGTGTCATTGGACGGACGTGGGGAAGCCAGCACTTCCTCTCCCACCTGACAGTAATGTGGTTCCCTCCCTCCCCCATGAAGATGTCAGCGAAGGGTCAGGGCTTTCACCACTGACCAGAGGTTTCAATCAAAAATCACTCATCACATCAAGAACCAGGCAGATCTCAAATTGAACAAAAAGAGACAACCAATAAATATAAACACTGACATGACAGAGAATTTAAAATGATCTGACAAAGATTTTAAAGCAACCACCAGAAAAATATTTCAATGACCGATTAAAACATACTTGAAGCATATGAAAAAATAGTCTCAGCAAAGAAATAGAAGATATGAAGAAGCAGCGAATGGAAATTTTAGAACTGAAAAATGCAACATCGAAAACTTTAAAACTCAGTTGAGGAAAGAATCAGTGAAATGGAAGACAGAACAATAGATATTACCCAATCTAAACAGAGGAAAAAACAGACTGGAAAAATTAAAAACAAAACAAAACAAAAACACATAGCTTCAGGGACCTGTGACCTGTGTGCCTCTAACTAAAGACCTAAGACTTATGTCATCAGAATCCAGGAGATTTCCCAGCAAGGCCCACATAACTACTCATTTTTTATGCACATCCCCAAGGTCTTACTCCTATTCACTCACTTCCATGACAACACAATATTATCTGTCTTGCCCAGGTAGATCCCTCTGAGCTCCCCAGTTCTCTTTCCTTTTTTTCTAGAACCTAAAGTCTTAATCTCCCTTCTCCACTCCCCATTCTAAATGGCCTTTCCAAAGAAGTCTTTTGGGTAATAAATAAGCATTCATGAAAATGATCTAGTTTGAGACAGTATCTAAAGTGGGTAAGTTAGCATCAGGTTTGGCTGAGTGAAATAGAAAGACCAAAAGATAGTTGATTTTTTCCTCACAAAAAAGAAGTCTGGATATGGGCAATTCAGGGTCATGTATAGTAGCTCTGAGTGATCAAAAATCCAGGCTTCTCGTTTTGTTTCAAAATCCTAGCATTTGGTTTTCATCCTCATGATTACCTCATGCTCCAGGATAGCCGCTAGCGGTCAGACACCTTGTCTGAGGCCCAGGCAGCAGGAAAGGGGAGGAAAGGTAAAGGAAAAGGATGTGCCAGTGGACTGTCCTCATTTCCAAAAGATTTCCTGTAAGCTCCACTCACAATTTCCTTTTTCCACTGGCCAGAACTTAGTCATTTGGCCATACCTAACTGCAAGGAAAGATTAGAAATGTTGTATTTTTGCTGGGGGAAAAAAGATGACTGGATCTGGATAAGCTCTGACCAGTCTTTGCCACAAGCAGTTTCTCAAAAAGGTTTGAGTCGCGAAAATTGGTAAAACTACTAAGTAGTGTACCAAATTGAGAATATATCCAGTTATATACTATTATGTTAATTTAAATGTTTAACTCACGTTTAATATAGACACAGATAGATACATACAGAAATATTTATCAATATGTATATATAACACAGATGAGTATACACATGTATATCTCTGCTGTCAGCTGAGAAAGCCTAGTAGCAATGATACCCCAGTAGCAACAAATATCTAGATCTTGGTTTATAATACCATTCACCAGTAAAAATAACAGGGCTCCTTAGAGAAATGCTTGATTGGACTGGGACAGAATATACCAACCGGGGTGTAAAAAAAAAAAGAACAAAAAGAAAAAGCAAATCCACAACACTGGGGATATGTCAACTGGACAATAGAGTCAACTGAAAGAGTCCCCGTGGCCAAAGGTAGAACAATTTGAGCAAAAAAAATAAAATAGTATTGAATTATATCAAACTATAAAACAAATATCCATGAGTCCCTACTGATATAAATAAGAGCCAAATCTGTACAGAAAAATTCAAATCAATTTATAGAGATGCTCTGCCCTTAGGAAAATGGAACATATTCCTCAATCTTTTAAGTGTTGGCTACGCATAGTGACTTCTTCCAAAGATTATAATATTCAGGGAGAAAAAATACAGTAAGTTGATAGTGAAGAAACCTGACAACCACTGCCTCAGTCAAGAGGTCAAGATTAATATCGACAGTGCTATCGTACTGACAATATGTACCCTCAATGTGAAGTAATGAAAATGGCACTTTACTTCTGTGTGGCCTTCCTCCCCAAAAGGTGGTGCTCCAGTGTAACTATAAGAAAAACATCAAATCTTAACTGAAGGACAGTCTACAAAATACCTAACCATTAAGAGGTAACCTAACACCAACCAAGGTCAGAGAAAGAGAGGAAGAAATAAGGCTAAAACCAGAAGCCGGACATGTGGTTTCCTGATTCTGTGCAGTGCTCTCATACCACATGGCTGCCTCTTCCGCACTGCACGCATTTCAGAACCAAGTGCAAGTGCACTTAACCTCTAACTCTTGTAATACACCCCTCAGTTCAAAGGAACTTACCAGGTCTCAACGTACCACGTACACAGAGGGGTGTCAGCTAGTGCAGAAATAACAAAAGGCAGTTCCTGACCTTGCACAGCTTACAGATCAAGAGAAAAGAAGACTTGCCGAAATAGTCACTTAAATAAAATTCTCACGAACATGCAAGCCACAGGTGGTAGACTAGTGCCCAGAAGTTTAAACACGGGGAACAAAAAGAGAAACGTCTGTGCACTGGAAGAACTAGACATGTCCAGTTCATTGTTATGAATATCACAGAAGCTCAGGATTAGCAAATGAGCAGGTGCAGGGCCATTCCTGGACCTTTAAACCTACAAAAGGGAAATACTGTTTTTCAGCCTTGCTAAAATCAAGTACAAAGAGCTTCTATCTCAGACTTGCAGATTAAGGTCAGCTCTCCATACTCCAGCAATAAAGGAGAACAACCTCAGAAAAAAGCTCAAATTCCAAGACACAGACCATACAGATCGTGACAGCGTTACTTCCTGAAGGCCTCGGGCTGGCTTTTTCTTACACGTTTTCGTAAATGTTCAGGCATTAACTGGAGCTAAATTATAGAGACATACAGGACTTGGCCATAAGAGATTATTCTAACTGGTGCAACTGATGGTCGGAAGCATGTGAATGGACTGTATTCAGTACAGAACTCTATCAAGATGGGCAACCCGATCATCCCGGACTCTGATGTCGGAGTATTACTAATTACATTCTAGTAACAGCATTCACCAGCCCTACTTCTTCATGGCATGGAGATAGATGGCAAGCAGTTCATCTCACACACTGACTCTAGGTGCTTTGGGAGAGAATGCAAGGCTGTGTCTGGATCAAATATAGTGATCACTTAGTGATGGACAGAAGTAAGAAGCTGGGATGTGTGCTGACTCACACTGAAAAAGAACATTAACTTGTTTATAAGGAAACTGGGCCTTTCTATCAGCTTCTTTATTCTCAACATTGTCTTTTATAAAACATTTAGACCAGAGAGAATGTTTTAACAGAGGACAGGCAAACTTATACATGGGCATATACACAAAGTGGTGCATTCAATTTGTGGGAACCTGATGCACAACTTTGTGTTTATATCCATTTTCTAACAAGGTGTTCATACCTTTTATCAGATTCTCAAAAAGGATCTATAATCCAAAGAAGTTAAGGACAACTAACTCTTTCCAGCTTTCAACATTCCATGAATATCATCCCTGGGAAACATCTTCTATCTGGTTCTGGGCTTTGGGCACAACTAATGAAATAGGTGTAGTCAGACAGAGTTTTCGATCTACCAACCTCCTAAGAGAAAAACAGTGCATCCCAAACACACAGCCAACCCAGTTAAAACATCCTGCTTACTGTCTGTCTGAATGCTCCTACCTGGAACACAGAGCTGCCCTCCCTGTCACTGGGCCCTGGCTGAATTCCAGCTAAAATATTCTGGATTAACATTTATCAAGGGAGGCCATTAGTGGCTTATTGTATTTCAATCAATGGAAGGGAAATACATGCTCTAAGGTGTCTCTCAAGGATGAGTAATAGAAAGATTGGGGCACTTGATATTTGTTAGAACGTTTTCGTCGGTTATCAGCCTAACTCAGGGTTTCTCGACCTGGCACTACTGGTGTTTTGGGTCAAATAAAACTTTGTTGTGAGAGGAGCCCTATGCACGGTAGGATGCTTACCAGCATCTCTACCCACGAGATGCCAGGATCACCTTCCTCCAAGGTGTTGTGGACAACTAAAAGTGTCTCCAGACATTGCTGAAGGTCTCCTGGGTGCAAAACTGCCACTCATGGAGACCACTGGCCTAGCTGAATAAGGTTCCATATGCATATTCTCTAATTGTGTTTCCTTCGCATTGACTGTGAGGGCCTTTACATATTTATGTACTTGGAGATTCCTGCTTTTAGTTCTATTTGGTTTTAAAGCAATTGGGAAGACATGACGGTGAACAGACAATCTTTTGGAAGACATCAGAATCCCTATGAGGGCGACAGGTGTAAGGAGATTTATTCTCCATTGCTGGTGACGGCGCAGATGGCTAAAACCTTTCAGAAGGCAATCTGGCAATTTATACCAAGTGATACACTAAACCTACAATTGAGTCTTTTTTAGAAGGAAATAATCCAAAATAATAATTTTTAAAAGTTACAGGCATTGATGTCAGGCCAATTATAATAATCAAAACTTAGAAGTATCCTAAATATCCAACAAAAAGGGAAATGGTACCTCCACAGTATGCAATAGTAACCAGCCATTTTTACATTTTTAAATTTGGGAGCAATATAGATTTTTATATATATATAGTACAAGTAAGTGAAAAATTATTTATTATGTAAAAAAAAATTGTTTGAACCTAGGTACAGGTTAGAGAGGAGTAAAATTGAAAAGAGGCCTGGGGCCATGGGTGGCTGGATGTCTCTGAATCCCAAACTTCTTGTGCTTGAAGGGAAATACACAGACTAGACCATTCTCTACCCTCTAAATTAGTTTTTACTATCTTACTAATGGGTTTAGCTAACTTTTTAAAAGTTTGTTTTGATCAAAAAAGTATTCCAAGAAGTAAAAGTGTAGTTCTCTTATGCAACTAAAGTGAAGTTCTTATCAGCTTAAAACAGAATGTCGTAATTATAAGCTGGAGATCTAATGTACAGCATGGTAACTCTAGTTAATAATAATGTACTATACACTTGGAATTTACTATGAGAGAAAAGTGTTCTCAACCATACAAATAATAAAAGGTAAACATGTGATATTACAGATGGTTAATTAGCTCGATGGTTAACTGAGGGCAGTATTTCACAATGTATAGGTATAGCAAAACATAACATTTTACAACTTAAATATACACTATAATTATTTGTCCATCATACCTCAGTAAAGCCGGAAAAATAAAAGTACTCCATTCTTACTGCAGAACTTTGGAAAGACACTTAAAAGTCAAGAAAACAAAAGCAATAAAATCATACTGATACTATGCCAAATCGCCTCTTAGTCTCTGAGTTGGATTTAGGTCACATCTGAGTACTTTTAGAACACATTATCAAAGGCTTTAGGTTTACTGACTTACCAGTAAACCCGTGCCATATCAAGTTTTAAATCAGATTAAGTTTTAAAGTATGTTGAATAAGTCATTTCCTGCTAAGGAGAACTGCCCTGCTCTCTTATCTTGTTTTATGAGTCCACTGGCTAACACTTTTCTATGGCTTTCTGAAGCACTGCTAACACTTAAAAAATAAAATGCATTTTTTCAGAAGGACCTGACTGCTTAAAAAGGAGCTGGAGTCCTCCCACAGAGCCCTGTATGCTCCATCACAGGAGGGCAAGTGGAGATTATGCTGGACGCTGTCCACTGCCTTCAGCCTAAAACTTGTCAGCCCCTGAGTGTGTGCACGTGATGCTGAGACACACTTACAGGTCATAGGAGAACTTCCTCTCCAGGTTAGTCTGGTTCTTTTGAAACTGGAGAACATCCTGATATAGCTTGCCGTAATTCTTCTGCAAGGTCTGGAACTGGTCTAAATCAAGAGGAAGACAGGAAATCACACAGTCACCCGCATGGCCGCAATGAACCCTGCTGACCCCTCCAGTCATAGCAGAAGGGGGAGCAGACCGCACAGAGGGGCTCACCCTGTTAGTGCCTCCACTGCTGCTTCAGAAGGGCCCCCCATAAAAACCCAACCCTGACGCCAAACTGACGAAGAGTAGCAAAGAAATGGAATTAAGTTGGGTTGGATAATTTTTATGTTTTATAAAGAATATCTGAATTCAGGGTGATGAGTGACCCAATTAACACACACACACACATATACCACATATATATATAACAGATCACATGCATATCATATATATGTGTGTATACATGTATTTCTTAATGTACCAAAAAATGAGTCTGAATTCTTCTGTACAGAAGCTTGAAATGTATTCAGTAACATATTTGAAGGAAAAGCTCTTTAAGGAATTATAGTCAAGCAAAAAGAATAAAGATTACTCGATCACTGTAATCCTATCCATCATTAGATTAAAATTAGAGACCTTAAAGAAGGCCAAGAGAAAAGGTGGGTTTTTCCCACAAGGTCCAATGTCAGGTGTAAAGGAGGGGAATGGAACTCACCTTGCAGCGTTCTGATAAGCCTCTCGCTTGAAGTGATATTATTCACTAAAACTGCCTGCAAGGAAGATAAACACAGAATGAAACCCTAGGCAACCTAACAACTCAAGAGTGCAGTGATAAGACTGACATGTGGGGGGAAAAAAAAGAAGGGAGCAGCACCTCCTCGACCCAGAGCGGCTGTCAGGAGGGAGGGCCCCAGACAGGCAGCAGCTCTCTGGCTGGACAATCAAACGTCCAGTCTGAAAAATAACATGCATGTTGAAAGATCTGCTTTCCAAACAGTAGTCTATAACCCAAGGAAGGGGTACCTGGGTCCTGGCTCTATTTCATCTCCAGGACACGATCCTCCTCCATGAACAGCCCCAGCCCTGCCTGGCTGAATCAGCAACTCCAGCTTCTCTCTGAGGGAGCCCAGGTACAGTCACATCCTCAATCAGAAGTCACCCTCTGGATTCCAGGCTGGCTAACAGAGTGAAGAGAGGGGGACCTGATGACCACTCCAGCAGCACAGCCTCCTGATTCATTTTAACCTCTGGCCTCTGGCTTCTGTCCACAGAGTCTACCAGCTCTGACGATGAAGGGCTGACAGCCAGTTAGTTACACGAAGTTAGGAATGCCAACGACAGAAGAGGGAAGAGGTGACACAAGACTCAGGACAATGAAAAAAAAGTAAAAAGAGATTGTGTGGAGTTCAGTGTAACCAGCGGCCAATATGCACTGAATAACCAGTATGCCAAGTGCTCTGCTGAGCATTCCACACCTATCCACTCCTTTGCTCTTCATACGAGCTGGATGAGGTGGGAGAAATATCATCCATCTTAGGGGCCAGGAAACTGAAGCCCAGACTGCTTAGGAAGATCAATGTCACATGGCTTTTTCAACAGCAAACAGGCAAAGCAAACCCCTAGACCCAGCAAGCTGGCTCCAGAAACTGAGCTCTTCACCACCACTTGCCTAACTGAATCTAAACCCCGAGTAAGACATCAATCTAGTGGACTGCGCCTAGTGCTAAAAAAACCCCCAAAATCTGAGAAAAAAGGGAACTAGAATATTAAATATCAGAGCGCATGATATTGGTGGTATTTTGTGAACACACACACAGAGCTGGGCACTGTGTCATAATCAACAAAGTCTGTAAAATGCTGCCCGTAATCTCAAGACACATTTTTGCTGCATTCCTGGTTAATGGTGTCAATGACAACCATACCACCTCACCGTTCTGTGCCTCTGGTTTCCTCTTGGACCCTCTCTGTGTAGCCCTCACTCTTTCTTTGGCCTAGACAGAGTTTTCTGGAGTAAAGTGATTATGAATACAGCAATGTGCTCCTAGAAATGAAATCTGGCCAAGCTAATCTGGTGTTTTTTTGGGGGAGATCTGAGCACAGGAACATTTCCTAGTACAACGGAAAAGAAGTCACAGTGATAATATCTCACATGATCAACCTCTCAGGGAGAGACGTCAAGAGTGGTACTTATAGATATCCTACGCAGGCAGCAGAGAGAAGAGAACCTGAAATGACAGGATGATTAGCATAGCGAGGAATCAGATTCACACAGCTTGCAGATCCTGCCACTCTCGTTGGTCATATGATCCAGCATCCCCACTTATGGGTACAGATCCAAAAGAACTCAAAGCAAGATCTTGAAGAGATATCTGCACCCCCACATTCGCAGCAGTACTATTCACAAGAGCCAAGAACTGGAAACAACCCAGGGTCTCTCAACAGATAAAGAAAATGGTATATACATATGGTGGTATATACATATGGTGGAATATTATGCAGCCTTTAAAAAGGAGTGCTACAACATGGATGAAGCTTGAGGCCATAATACTAAGCAAAACAAGCCAGTAGCAAAAAAAAAAAAAAATACTGTGATTCCACTCATATGAAGTATCTAAAGCAGTCAAAATCATAGAAACAGAAAGCAGAAAGGCGGTTGCCAACGGCTGGGGGAAGTGGCAGGGAAATTAGGATTGAATGGGCATAGCGTCTCGGTGTTGCAAGATGAAAAAGTTCGAGATCTGTTGAATATATTTAACACTACTGAACTGTACACTTAACTTCTACCTCACCTATGCATCAAAACCTCCTCTCTGAACATCAAAGCTGAAACAAAACAGAAAAAGAACACTTAAATGATTATATACTGATTATTTTCAAAAGCTGTTATCTCCTAGGTAAATCATTTCTAAATTATGGCAATATAAAAATTATGGGCAATATGACTTGTCCCTCCTCATAGTCCCACCCCTAAAACATCCATATTGGAGTCTGCAACTATCTGGGGATTCGGGAAGGTTTAGAAATTGCTGCAATCTGAAATATCTGAAGATATTTCTGTCTACCACATGAGTTTATTCTTCCAAAAAGAATTTGTTTTAGTTATTTTCCTCCGCCTACTTACTTATGCATGGAAAAAAACAGTCTCCACTTAAATGGAAAAAAGATCATAAAATGCCATCAAGCTTTTATATACAGTTTTATATTTACTGAAAATCTTGTTGAATCACTTTCAAGAAAATTATGAAAATGTTTTTAGCTTTTTTAAGCGTTCGATAAAAAGAAAAAAAGACCTGTATTAAGCAAAATTATTTTTAAATGAATTATATATTCTACTCTAAACAACCGGGGTGTTTCACATGTTGGTGCAGTGACTTTGTGGAGAGGTGCACTTCCTGTGAGTGTGGACCGTGTCCTCAGGGAACGCTCAGCAGCAGACAAGGAGGCACAATAAGTTCCACTGGAATGTAACTGGAAACTAAAATCTCAGGATTATAATCCCCCACGTACAAATTCATTGTAACCATTCCATTCTGGGAAACAAGTACATTTGACCAGACTATTTCTGCTTTAGATTCCTAGAAAAATAACCCGAACATTTCACAGTAAATTTCCAAAGCAGTAAATCTACAAAAAAATCAGCACATTCTGAAAGCTCAACAAGATGTAAATGACTAAATTTTACATGCACTATCTTTTGAAAAGCTCACCGGAAGTGTGATACGGATCACATTATTAAAAAGAGAAGGTGACTTCTACTGCTATATTTGTTTGTCTCATTGAAACAATCCACCTGCTTTGAAGGTGAGGGTCCACCTGCTTTGAAGGTGAGGGTCCACCTTAAATCAAGCCTTACTAAAGAGAACCCTCAAACCCTCTAACCCCTGTCAACCCACCAGCATTCAGGTGCCTAGGTAATGTCTTTGGAATGTCATTGCCGTTAGTTCCACAGGGAAACAAACCTTAAAATGAGAAACTTAATCTTAGTGACCTGGGCATGACATTAAGAATGGGAAGAACAATATAAAGTATTCATTAGTGTTGTCATTTCATCCCTCACCAATCTTAAAATCTCCCAGAGCAGTGCCATCCAACGGAAATATGGATGTCCTATGTTAGTCACATATAGAAATTTTAAATTCTCTACCAGTGATATTAAATAAAGTAAAAAGACACAAGTTGGGCAATGGATTTGAACAGATATTTGTCCAAAGTAATGGCCAATAAGTACACAGGAAAGACGCTCAACATCATTAGTCATTAGAGAAATCCAATCAAAATGAGAAGATACCACTTCGCACACTCCAGGACTACAATTAAAAAAAAAAAAAGAAGCGGAGGGTGGGAATGACAAGGATATAGAGAAAATGGATCCGTCATACACAGCTAATGAGAACGTAAACTGATGCAGCTGCTATGGAAAACAGTTTGGCGGTTCCTTAAGAAGTTAAACAGAGATATATAACCCAGTAATTCCACTCCCAAGTATGTACCCAAGATAACTGAAAACATAGATCCACATAAAAACTTGTCCACAAATGTTCACAGAAGAATATTCATAACAGCCAAAAAGTGGAAACAACTCAAATGTCCATCAAGTGATGAGTGGATAAACAAAGTGGTATATCCATACAACAGAATATTATTCGGCCATAAAAAGAATAAATAAGCGCTGATACGTGCCGCAACATGGATGAACCTTGAAAACACTGTACTAATTAAAGCAGCAAGTTACAAAAGCCCCCAAAATGTATGATTATGTTGATATGATATGTCCAGCATAGGCAAATCTATAGAGACAAAGTAAGTGAGCGGCTGCCAGGGGCTGGAGGGTAGGGAAAATGGGAGTGAGTGCTTAATGGGTACACGTTTGCTTTTGAGGGTGATGAAAATGTTCTGGAGTTAGTAGTGATAGTTGCACAACATCATGACTATACCAAAAACCACTGAATGATACACTTTAAAATGGTTAAAATGGTGAACTTTACGTTATGTGAAAAAAAAAAAGGTGAAATAAAATACTACTAATATTTTATTTAATATATCCAAATTATCGTTTTAAGATGTAATCAACATAAACTGAATTAATGAGATATTTTACTTTTTTATTCATACTAAGCCTTTGAAATCTAGCATATTTTACACTTACAGCACATCTCTGTGGGGGTATTTTCGGTGCTCCATTGCCACTTGCCGGCAAAGATAGCACAGTCCCTGAGGAATAAGAAAAGAGGGCAGACAGAGTCCCAGAGTCCCAGTGAAGTGCCAATTATTTATTTATAGCATCTCACTAAGATTACACTCACACTGGCACCCATTCACATCAACAACAAAACAGACAATGCCACCCAAACACTTCATATCCGCAACCCCTGTGGGCCAAATCCTGGCTCAATGAACATATGTTCTCAGAGAAACCACCAAACAAAGTGGTGGGCAGCTAGTCCAGTTCACAAAACCCTATGGCTGATGTAAGTCACTTTTGTGATTAAAAACAGACATGGAAATGTGAACAAAGAGATATCTGATATTAAGGATTTGCTGGAGTTTGGGGTATGATAATGGCATTGTGGTTTTGAGAAAGATCCCCCCTTTTAGAGATATATACTGAAATATTTGATTGAAAAAGTATGAGTTATAATCACTGAAGCCTGACATTGGACACACACGAGTCCATTAGATCATTCTACTTTTTCATGTTTAAAAATTTCCACAAATTAGCCTATATACACAGGCATACATATCTAATCCTGTCACGTTGCTACTAATTTAA